TGCTGGCCCACATTCGTCAATTGTTCGTTGTAAATGAGCACTGGGATACAGGGCAGCTGAAATGTAACGAGTCTGTTTGAAAATATTATGTAACTAATTTTCCGAAATAAACATAATAATAATAATGATGATGATAATAATAAATAACTATAAGCTCGTATGAAGTTTGTTTTACCTGTGATTAACTTACAGAATATGACTTAATGATAGATTTGTACTCACCACGCTGTTGGACACACAGTTAAACATTTTCATGAAGCATCCCCGTTCAGCCAGATGTTCACAGCAGCAGCGGTCGCTGTTTTACCCTCCTTGTTTTATTAGTCCACCGCGCTTCTGCCGACTCGCCTGCTTTATTGTGACGGACAGAGGTTTGTTTCTCTTCTTACCACTTGTTGCAAAAAAAAAAAAAAAAAACGACAGAGAAAGACCGGCGCACCTCCCACTGCGTTAGTCTGAGACCGCCCGCTGTAGCAAGAACTCCATTTCGGGTAGATTGGTTTAAATCGTTATTGTTAAATTAAGAACAAAAATACTTATATTAATATTGATGAATTGTGAGCTTTAAGGCCTCAAAACTTTAATTATCAATATCAGTCAGTGAAAAATTACAAATTGTTGACTGAAATTACAAAGAAATGAGCCAAAATTTAATTTTTGGAAGACATTTTCCCCCCATTTTTGCCTAAAATATAGCAATAGGTCCAGTAAAACGAATTTGATTTGGAAAATTCCCATGACGCAATGTAATATACATTTATTTACTGGAAAACGACTTTACAGTATTGTACTTGGGAAAAATGTTAATATTTGCACGCTGACAGTGTAGAAAGTGAATTTACAGCAGACAGCTTTTCAGTCGAAAACATCTAACCCAGGATTTTATATGGAATCACAAGATTTCGGTTTATATCATTTAGTTTATTTCTCATAACCTGGAAAAAAACATACTGCAACACTTCGAGAAAATCTTCTTAAAAAATAAATCTTTTCCTGTGAGAGACACTTGTAGGTTCAGTTAAGCCCAGCCGGACTTTATCACCACTCTTCATCTTTTCCTTCCTTGTCATTAGGGACCTAAAGAAAACATCACAGGTTGTGTTTGAGCGCTGAATTATATTTATTTAGACATCCACACCATCTGAGCAGCAGCTAAAGTTGTTGATTTAATCCTTCAAAACTGCTCACAGTACATTAGAACAACAGTTTTAATGAATTAAATTAAGTGACCCTGCTGTTCTTTTGCTGTGCAGCATTGAAATACAGTGTGTCTATATTTATAACTACAAATAAATATTGAAAGTTAAGCTATTTATTGCAATATTAAAATAACACTTTCATGACTTTTCATGTACCTTTTATTGTCCCCTTTAAAAAAGAGGTGTGCCCCCCCACATACACACATCCATTCTTTGACGATTACCTTATGAGACATTAAGTAAAGATGAAGGCTGACCAAAGATTGGGGTCGAAAAAGCATGAATTAAACCTTCTCAGAGGGCACTTTCTGAATGGAGAATCAAGAAGCAGGTCAAGAATTCCTTCGGGTCTTATCTGCATATGCAACCCAATACCGCAGCCCCCTCAGACTTCTAAAACGGTATCTTTGACGTGGAATTTAATGGCTTGATGTGTACTTAACCCTGAACAGAAAAGTCAGCTTTAAAAACAATAATGTGAAATATGAAAGTAGCAGCACCACAAAACATTCAGTTATTAATGGACTTTTTCTGAAATAGCTATAAGAATGTATGAACATATTAAATGGGACGGTCTTTGTCAGCACTTTCTAGGAACATAAACTTGTTAAACTGTCTGACAGACGGAGTATTGTATCTTTGTCATTAAAATGAACATAATAACTTTTTCAGTGAAAAAGGCATTTCTGATATTTTTTTGCCCTACTGGAGGAATGGCGAGTTACATTTGTGCAGTGGTTAGCACTTTTGTCTCCCAGCAAGAAGGTTCAAATCCACCATGTGACTGGGCCCTTTCTGTGTGGACTTTGCATGCTCTCCCCGTGTCTGAGTGGGTTCCATCCAGGTGGTCTGGCTTCCTCACACATTCCAACAACAACCAAAAAGTTGAATGGGAGGCAGAGCTACTTGGTGATTCTAAATTGCCCATAGGTGTGAATGTGAGTGTGACTGTGTTAGCCCTTTGACAGACTGACCTCTCCAGGCTGCACCCTGCCTCTTGCCCTATGGTAACTGAGACAGCCTACAGCCTGGATGAATGGAACTTATCATCATATCATTATAACTTCAGAGTACACCAAAATGACAGATAATGTTGTAAAAGGTTAAATCTAATAAAGTTCCTGTATTTTTGAGTCTAGAATATTCATGGAGTTTTACATAAAAAGATTTTAAATTTCACCAGAAAATCTCTGGGAGTAATTGTAATTGGACAAACTCTTGAAAAATGGCCTAACCGCCCTATCAGCACCCAATGTAGAGACCCAAATGCCTCTCTAAGATGTAGTTTCCCTTGGGCAAACATAACTCTACTGTAACTCATCTCTCTCTCTTAAACACACACACTGAAGCTGATGTAAGAGGATGTTTATCTCCCAGTGATTACAGACATGCAAACCCTTACTTGCTTCTTCTCTACAAATCTGAATGGAACTGAATGGTTCAGCTCCTTCAAAAAACAAACCAAAAACTGCCCTGTTTGCATTTGCATGACATCTGACATTAAATTTGAAAATTTATAGTCGGACAGTCAGCATGTGGTAACTCTTTGTAGCAGAATTAGTTTGATCTTGCTTTTCTTTCCTTTCACTTTAAATATCCACTTTAAATGTTTTGCCAAAATAAGCTCAGGCTAATGAACATTTAGTAAAACTACAGTGTGTTCCATGCTAAGTCATTCTTAAACAGAAAACACTGTTTTTGCAAAAGAGTTACCCACTGCACCTACTACAGCTTTCTTCAGGCTTTATTTATTTTATTTGCAGCAATATGCATTAATCTTATGTCAATGAAGCTTCCAGTTGAGGACATGTGAGATGTTCTCAAACATTTATACTCATACATACAATGATTTACTGCAATACTGCATCAACACTATGCAAGCAAATGTTTTATTTGTCTTAATGTCACTGTAAAATATTCTAATAACTACTGGCCTCTGTGCAGGAACAGAAGCCCAGTGCCCTGTCCCCCTCCCCTACACAGTGGCAGGTTTACTGTCATTACGTCAGAGTTCGTGAGCAGTGGCAGTGTTTGTCAATGGGCTTGGTTTCCCTCTTTGGTCATAAACATCCCAGCATCATAAAAACACACAGTTATTTTTGGTTTAAGGCAGCTTTTGCTTTCAATTTGCCCGTGACATGCTATGGCTTATCTCGCTGCTTGGAAGTTTTCTCAGTACGGGTGTGTCTCCGTACATCTTTGTGTGTTTGTGTGCAAGTTTATCTGAGATGATTTAGCTGAATGTCAGAGAGTTGCTGCTGAAAGATCGGTTGGGACTGCGTGCATCACGTCTGCTCACTGAACGTGTGGTTGAGAGAGGAGACCACCTTCCTCGCCAACTAGGTTTCCATAGGTTATCTGACCCCTGGCAGGAAGTGTTGTGACAGGTATGGATGGAAGAACATGACTGGAAGACGGTGGTCCTTTCATTCTGTACACTGGAAACTCGACAGACGGTTACAATTAGGCAGGGCAGCACTTTGTGTGTGCGTGGATATATATATGTGTGTGTGTGTATACCTCTTTAGAAATCTTTGT